GGGGATAAAATCATCATCATCTTTCCGATCCGAGGTTTTTTGGCTCCAGGGTTGTAAGTGTGCGTGCGTGCGTCCGAATTTTGCGAGGATCATCCTCCCAAACAGATCGATCCAAGCCCTGGATAACAAACATGCCGAATACAAATGAGTTTAAGATAGTATTAGAATGTCTCTACCCAGGTACAGCCGAAAAACAAATAGTTTCAGAAACGTAGTCAGCAGTTTGATAATATCGGCTTAATCGTGGCACACACTACTTACTATAGAAGACGTGTATCAATAAATTGACAGCCGTCTTAATGACAGTAACAATCACCGTCCCATGGGTGCCGTATTATGGAGTGTTCGCGTTGAAATTAATCGTCGGACTAAACCTCGGGTACTTCAGTAGTCCTTCCCATTGGGGTACGAACAAGCCAGCAAAAACACATCAGCGTTCGAGCGACTGAGGATACCCTGGTGACGATGATTCCTAACCAAGAACGAAACAGCTCTACTATGCTGAAAAAGGTTTTCAGTAGTACGTTGGCACTACGTCAAGTATCACTTTCGAACCGTTTCATTCCGCAAATGTTAGTAAACACCCAAGTACTTTACTCATCTTTCTGTCTGGAAGCAATGTCAGGTGACTGAAGCCTACCGCTTTAAAGCAGTTCCAAGATTCCATAATCGATCAGCAGTTTGAAAGACGATGAAGACAGTTCTAATCGGAGTTATCGGAAATCGTACACGCCGGACGTAGAGCGTTACACGCGGCTAAGGAAAAGGTGTCTGATGTGATCAGTGAGAACAAGTGACGAAGATGGTAGGTTAAACCAAACGGACTTCTTCTTAAAGACAGACAGACAGATACTTACCAATGAGATTAACGCGTCCGGGTGCACGAACAACGAAATTACACGGATGACCCATAGAAATCAATTGATTAGACAGTGTGCGGCCTACATCACTTAACTCATATAACGGGATTTTATCGTCCGATGATGATGATGGCGGCGGCGGTGAATTGGTGCACATTGTTCTCCGTGAAGAAATTCTGAAATAGTGAGAAGATGAGCCGATAACTTTCAGCAGGCGTGAAATACACATCGGTGTTACAAAGGATTTGTACGGCATTAGCTTGATTCGTCCACAACGCATCGACCTCGGAAGTGCCGATTCGCTTTTTCAGTTTGATAAGGAAAGTGGCGGTACACGCCAGTATCACGTTAAATCTCGTCAATACTGCCTAATTTCCACATACGATCACACAACTGTCCTCTGATGGACGGCTTTAAACTCCTAAAATGCGATCATACAATTGACTGTTCAAAGAAAGTAATCTGAAATTACTTTATAGAAAACAGAATTAAAGGATATCTCAAGGTTCAGCCTAAGGTATGAATTAGACAAATTCACTAAAACCCTAATTAGGTATGTCCATTTTCAGGTTGTCTGATTATTAAACAATTATCCGCTCACTTTCATGTCACGAACTGATAATAATAAACACAGATATTCTGAAATTTTTAGCGAAACGTTTGCCATATAGAATAATATTAATAAATGTTTTTGCTTCCTTTTTTGCTAATTGATTATAGAAATACAACAAAAATTCAGGAAGGGGACCGCGGCCAAAATAAGGTTGTCTGGGGAAATACAGAATATGGGAAGATGGGCTGCGGTGGCGGGGTTCGAACTTAGGACCCCCAGGTGGCTATTTCGACGACCTCACTACTCGACCAACGCCACTCCGTAGATTGTCACGATCTTAGGTCATTGCTTTACTTTAAAGTATTTTTATAAAGCACACTATCCACAGTCGATCTGGATAGTTTAACTGTATCGAGTCCCAGTCACAGCAGCTCATTTTTATACTCAAGTGGTAGCGTGATAAAACTGCAACGGACGTTCTCACCTAGGAGTTTTATGACATCACGTCAAGGGGAGGGAGGAATTTATAGGGTATTTGATAGTAGTTGCACCTCTGATAGGGTGGGCTGTCGCGTCCCCTTGAGGGTATTCTCATCCTCTTTGGCTCTCGTCATATATTTAAATCTCGTCTGTGGCTGAACGACACTAAGTCAGGCAACAACAATCACATCCCGGCAAACAGCTCACGGGACGGGTTAAATCAGGTTGAGGTTCACCGAAGGAATGAAGCCTTGACGAGACGATGCATGTGAAGACAACTTCTCTTGAATGAGCGGGCGAGATCTACTACCTAATCCTACGGCTATGAAGGAAGCATGTCCAACCAACGGGTTGCAACACGGTTTCGAATGGTGAATGCACTCCTATGGAGCAACCGGAAACCATGCACCAACACAATACAGTCTGGCAGTCCGTGCTTAGTTTTGCAAAGCTTTGAGATGTGTCGTCGAAAAGAAAACGACCCTGGGGACGTCTGTCGTACCGAAATCGCATGAAACTCCAGAACCATTATGGAGCCAACTTATCCTCTCCAAGGCACCAAACAAAGTAAAACTAAAAAGTATCCGCAGAGAGAGAGATGCAGACAAGTTAAATGACCCCACTCTGTTGTTGTATGATCGAGTAAGATTAGGGGTAATGAGGGATTCTCATTCGACGCTGATTTTGAAATGAGACAAAACTGAAACTGTTGGACTACGAAAACGACACAGACGTCCTTCCCTAGAATAGAAGTGTAGCAAAGAAATCATTGATCAAATTTCATTTAACCTACACCTTCCTGTGAACCCATGCATTTTACAATCCCGTGTTGGATCTACTGACAATTGACGGTAGATATACATTCTGTGAATACGCCCAAATGTTTTGCAAATGAGGGAACCTTGTGATCAGAGAAACAAGAAATTGGATTATTTTTTACAATCGCCTTATTTCCATCGTGATTGAGATTTGTGGTACAGAATGAATCGCGAGCATAACCGTGTGGACCACCCCACCCTTCACCCCAAAAAATCTGGTGTTTATTCGGTTTTACTGGCCTCACTCCCCGGGACCATTAGCTCTATGCACATGATGACAGACATTTTCTCAACTCCCAGAGCGTAACCGACATGAAAGACATATGCGGCACATACTGGGAGTTACTGCAAACTCTCTAGATGGATGCCGCACAAAACGAATCACAAGATCATGTGGAAACCCATACAGAAAAGTACAAAAAGTAAACCAATGTAGAATAAAGCCGTTTCTCGGGATGAAACAGAAAATGAAAAAAACACGAGTAAAAGCCAACGCGGAATGATAATCATAACTAGCCAACCGACTCAGCTCGGCATTTTAGGAGCAAAAAACCAATCAGTTGTGGGATGACAGGAAGCACAGTGATGTAAGCAACAGGACAATTTTGATTCTCTATCTTGTCATGAAACTGAAACAAGCCTTCCTATCAATTTCAATGTAGGTGCGGAGACACTTACGTAGGCAGAACAGAAAGGCAATTACGTAATCGGGTTTTAGAACACATTCCGAACTGGGTTCAATGCAAGGTTGCCTTGGCAAAGTGCACACAGCCGGCAACTGGTAAGGACCGTGCTTACAAACCACAAAGCTCATCGATAGCCAAGCACTTGGTGATGACGCAACACCTCGTGGATCGCGATAAAGCATTTCGAGTGATTCTTACTAACGGTCACGCCAGAATGCTCAAGATCGCTGAAGCGATTGCAATCAACTGATAGAAATCAATTTTGTGTCGACAAAAAGATTTATTCATCACCTTGGATTTGTCTTGGGGACGCCTCCCTCCATTTATTTTGTAATTCATTTCCAAACCCTATATAAACATTGTATTTGTCTGCATTAAGCACCAGTTGAGAAGCAGCGAAATCGTCTAGGACATCAATCGTGCAATGTTGCTATACTGGCTTCTGCATCTTTTCCCATCAAGCTCTAGACAAAATCCGTAATTCCTGAGCCTCGATCGTCGTATTTATGTCAAATGTGGCAGCGTTAATAAACTGATTATTGTAATGGGGGTGTATTTTTGTTAACGGTGTTCATTATCCTCGGCATGTTTATATATTCACTTCTTATGAACGTAGTTCACTTTAAGTGAAAATACGGAACGGTTAGCACTTATTTTTTGTGATATCACTCTTTAATTTATTTCAGGACTTGTGAATGTACTACAATGCACCATTTGTGTTACATTCCAGATTTCTGCTCACCGGAGTATCGCTGAAGCTGTACGAGGTGTATCCAATGGTCTAAAAATACGGGAACATCAGTTAAACCTGCTCCAGTCAAGATGTGGTGCGGCATGTGACACACATACATACACACACACACACACACGATAGCCGCACGGGTCAAGGATAATGGATGGACGGACCGTGGTCATTATGGAAACGAGTATTACTCAATACACAACCCGATCGATTTAATAGCATCGGAGTATTCGAAGTTATAGCTTATCCGTCTATTTATGCACGGTCGATAGGAATATTGACACTTAGTATGAACAGACCACTATTAGCCTGCTAAACCGAAATATGTATGATATCTTTAATCCACGAACTTGTGGACCAGTTCATCTTATATCCACCCGCTGCAGTTAATTGAGTCTAGCCCATCTGGTACATCCAAAAATAGATAGGTGTTGTTTA